GAGAGCGAGACACATCACAGTGGAGTAAGCTGTCTTAACCATGGCTTGTGTCCTGCAAACACATACCAGCTTCATCACTGTGTCTGTTACGCGGCTCTGTTCCCCTTTCTGGCTCTGTCTTTACATTTATTTTGAAAGATAAAGTTGCAATAGTGCTTGCGGTGTTTGGCCAATCGCAATGCACTGGGTCAGCTGGCCAATCAGAGCAGACTGCGCTTGTCGAAGGAGGGACTTTGTAGAAAACGAAGCGTTGAGAGAGGCGGGCATAGAGGACTTACAATAAAGTACAGTATTTGAAAAATAATGTGTTTTTTGAACATTAAAGCATGTCAACATTCTGTTACATCAAATAATGATCTTTAAAAAAGCATCATATGACCCCTTTAATAGTGACGTAAGCGTCAGCATGATGCCAAGAGACTTTCTTCGACAATAACAGGAAACAAAAAGCTGACAGAGAGCTCATATGCCCAAAAAATATTATTTTTACTGCATTAGAAACAAAAAGTGAACAAAATATTCTCAGAACTAACTTCACTTTTCTGTGCTACTTCTGCAATGACTCATAATAACGGTAAACACTTGGATTGTAAACTGTATAATTTGACAACTATCCAACTTTTTCCAAATGAGTCCCGAGTCCAAATGAGGCTTAGGGAACTTCCACTCAAACTGACTGAAACAAATAATTTCATGCTACAAATTATCCCTAAATAGTATATTATCGGTCATGCTCTATTTTTATCTGTCAGGAAAATAACATCATGTTTGGAATTGCATTGGTATCACAAGAATATCTGTGACAAAATCTCTGTTCAGACCTCTAGCTATGCCCGTTTCTTTTTTCCTTGTATTCTGCTCTATTAATATAAAAATACTATGATTTTTTTCTGCAAATCCTCAGTTAAATCTCTATCAAATGGCACTTTAAAATGTAGTTTTCTTCCCTTTTTCACTTCCAATTCATGTTAGCTGTGTTTACTGGAATATTTATAATATTCAATATTATACATTAGAATATAAAGCCAGGAAAAAACGCATTCATCTGTCAAAATGAGGGAAAGCACTCTGAAATATCCATAAATATTACAGTTAATGGAAGATTTTTGATTAACACAACATACACGTATTTTACATATAATTTTACGTATACAGTGATATTTAACACGTCCATAATATTGTTGCCGAAAGACTCATACTGTTGAGCTTTTAGGGTTACTCATGGTCTGCTGATAGTGATTTGTTATTTTTACACTTAAGTTCGGTTTTGTTCGATGGGTATAATGTCACCTCACCGTACCTAGTTTTTGCAAATGATTAGTATTGCATTCTTCCATGGGATGTAGGAACAAGGTGGATAACTTCAAACTCTCAGCAACTACAGTCAGTACATAATGTGTGATGAGAAACACAAATCATGTCCTTCATTATACAGAAGATTTATTTGACTGAATAAACATCCTAAAAAAAATGTAATATAATTCAAAAACGAAAGTCACTTGGATTAGAATTGAATTCCATAAATCTAGCTACTCAAAGACAGTTGCTTGGATTTCTGTCCAAAACACAACTATTTCTAGTGTAATGGGTATAAAACGTAAGATATTTGAGGACATGTCCTGGCACCATTTATAGAGATGTTTGTACTTACCACCATGCCCATTCCAGTGCTGTGAACACCAGGATGTTTTATGACACAGTCTGAAGCCTTCATACATTTCGTTTTTCCTTTAAATAAAGAAAAATAACAGAATAAATATAACAAACAGAAGACTAAAACTGCTTAATATCCTAAAAATGTACTACTACTCTTTGTGAAACGTGATTTATCTCTGTCCAGCATCTCACCGATTATCAGAGTGCTCAAATGTTTTTGTAGGCTATCCTCCTGCTTCTTTGGGTATTTATTTTATGATACACTGGGCACATTCCACAGACAAGTTCACCTCCCTTTGAGTACTTATTATTACTTTCTTATCATACTTTTGTCCCCTCTAAGGTCCACTTACAATGTCAGTAGGATACGGCCCTCCATGTGTGAAAGCACTCTGTTCCTGAGCTGCAGATTTGATTGCATTCTTATTAATTATTTGTGTTTAAGACCGATAAGTCATCTTTATCTGCTTTATTGGACAAGCCGAGTTTCAGAACACTGGACCGAGATCTAATGTCAAACTGAGCAACGTGCAAGATATATTCCAGACTCCAACTGGAGGAAAAAACGATGAGGGTCAGTTATAATGAGTGTAGAGGGCGTGCTGGGGTTCAGTAGGAGGAAGTTCATCTCACCACACTGTGCACACATGGGAAGTTTCTGCACTGAAGAGCAGAAATAGCAGAACGCCCTGTTTTTTTGTCGCCTGGCAACAGAAAAAAATTATATGCAATATTACGGAAAGGTACAAGGTAATGCAACAATTCTGCAAAAATCATAAGTAAAATTACCTTTGACACTTATCACATTCCTAAAAAAATAAAAAAATAAAAGGTTAGGTCAGTGCATTAATGTACCAACCAGAAAAGCAGCTTGCAGCAAAACTGAAAAAAAAAAAGCCTAAATATTCCTATAGGTTACATCCAAGTTTTGATAGAAATTTCCAACTCTAAAGGAATTTTCTGATAGTATTGTTTTCATGAAACCTGTCCATACCATGTCTGGGTCATATCTCACAAAAGAACAAAGAAATATTAAAATATGAATAATGTAATTTTAATATTTAGATATAAACGTTTAAAAGGAGAATGAGCACTGGACTTTTTCACTGAACTGAAAGCCTTTAAAAATACATATGATTATTAAAATGATTCTTCAAAAAAATAACATTTTCGCAATCTGTGAATGCATTGTCTAATCTAGCACTTTCTATTCTATTTTAATTCTACTTTATATATCTATCTTTTTTTGTTTTATTTTTTATAAACAAAAAAATTAAAAAAACAACAACAAAAAACTAAATAACACTAGCTTTCTATTTTTTCTATTCTATCTACTTGTTTTTCTTTGGGTGTGTGTGTGTGTATATATGTATATATATGTGTGTGTGTGTGTGTGTGTATATATATGTGTGTGTGTGTGTGTATATATGTATGTATGTGTGTGTGTGTGTGTGTATATTTGTATGTATATATGTATTGTGTATGTGTGTATATATTTGTATGTATATATGTATTGTGTATGTGTATATATATACACACACACACACACACACACACACACCTTGCTACGTGTACTGCGTTAGGCTAACCGAGACTTGTCATTTGCACTTATATATTGTTGCTCTTTTGTTAGTTTTGACTGCTTTTATTGTCCTCATGTGTAAGTCGCTTTGGATAAAAGCGTCTGCTAAATGGCTACATAATAATAATTGTGCAAGCTTTAGATGACTCTTACCATGGTTGCATTGCATGGGTGTTTGGCCACATCAACAACCTCTTTATTGGCTCGAGTCTGTTTCTCTCGCTCCTTTCGGCTCTCAGCCTTCTTACGAGCGCCAGTCTTTTTCTTAGGCATCTTTCACCTGCAATATCACAAAAACAGAACAGAAATCTGTGACACGTGTAATGGAGTCGATATCGAACAGATTTCCTGTTGACTCCGCTCTGGTGATTTCCACTGAACTCACACGAGTTCATTAATGACTTCAATAAACAGCTCAGCTTAACAGTTACTTTCACAAAAAAACGCATTACTTTTTATTTACAGTTCAACGCCATATATTCGAACACGTCTGTCATAGGAAACATACCCAGATTAAAGGATTAATCGCGTAGAAATCAGGCGGTTGATCACAGCTGACCCCGGCGCGTGTGTAACAGCAAATCGTTCCGGAAGGAAACCTAACTGACGCTGTTATCAGTTCCACGAACATTTACTAGCAGGAGTCTTTTGCTTAGCGGAACTGCTTAGATTGTAATCTAATACAATTACATTTAGTTTAAAGTGTCTACATTAAAACCACTTTATATGTTAATTTAAAAGAATTACATGAGATGTAGTCCCACTCCATCACAGAGGAGGGCAACGGGCTGTCCGTAACGAAGCGGTTGCCAGATACTCTATCAAATAGCTTCTCTAAGTTTTAATGTTGTCTCTTTAAATTATATATATATATTTATGTATGATATATTAACCCTTTAACTGCCCCCCCATTTTTTAAAATAGGCATGCAGGTGCACTATCCAAACTTAAATTGTTGTAATTTATGAACACTTTGGAATACAGACATAAGGTTGGTCTCTTGTTAAAGAAGAAAATCAGCAAATTATCGCAAAAGTGGAAAAACTAGTGGAAAAAAATTTAAGTATCAAAAAGTTATAGTAATTTAAATGTACTGTAAAGAAAATGAACTATATAAATTTTAATTTTATTTTATATATAATAAATATTTTACATATCAGGTTTTACTCTAAAATTGGTATAAAATTATAGCCTTATGTCTAAATAAGTTATGTTCCAAATTTGAAGTTAATATGAAAAAAATTGAGGTTCCTGTGAGATTTTATTTAGGGTGTTATCCCACAAACAGCCACCAGGTGCCATCCAAACTCCATTGAATTTTTTTGAATGCATTTTTCTGTCACAAATGTCTAGATTTCTCTGTCAATATTACTTCTATCTCAAAATACCACCAAATATGGAATCCTGAGACTCAGACCTTTCCAATGATATGTTTTTTGTCAAGATTATAAAAAGTTTTGATTCTAAAAGACCGTAATTCATTTTGTAATATGACACTTGACACCGCCCACTAAGGGGGAGGAGACCGCCAAAATATTTTAAAGTACCATTTCCATGGTAACGCAATGTCTGATTTCGAAATGGTTTCACAGGATGAATCTTGGGCTTCTAAGCTTTCAAATGATATATGATGTATGATGATTACTAAAAGATTTGATAGAGAAAAAAGACAACAAAAAAAAAAGCGCCAAACGTCCCACAGGTGGGACGGTGACAGTTAAGGGTTAATATATATCATATATTATATAGCGACTGAGCGGCTATGCAAGGCCTGTGTGTTGCATAGCAGCGTTTTGTTTAATGTAATCCGGGTTTTTTATCAATCAATTAATTAATTTAGTTTGTTAGCTATTTCTATATAGCGCTCTTTAAAGGCTCATGAAACCCCCGTTTCAGCACTGGTTAGTTCTCACCACAGTTTTAAAAAACGCTTAAAAAGTGGGCGTGGTGCACAGCGGAGCAGGGGAGGAGGAGGGCAGACAGACAACACGCACAGCTTCGCCTTCAGACTGTTTCATTTCGCTCCCATCGAGTTAAAAACACAAATAAATGCAAAGCCATTTGCACTCTGCATCGAAAACATATATATAAACGCGCTGTTGCACCGCTGAGAACTTTTAAGGCTTATCCTGTGGCGTTTATATAAGCCTTTTGACGGGTTGTGCCACAGAGATGTAAAAACGGTTATGCTCACCAAGTGAATGAATCGTGTTTGTGCCGAACTCTTATTACAAAGCAAAAACAAACGCTCGTCTTCGATCCATGAATGTTTCTCTTGGTTAACGTGCGCGATGTCATCTCACAGTCTGAAGCTCTGTCATAGCAAATCAACACATGCTGTGGTGAATAATTAAGCGCAGCGTCTTCTCATTGGATAAGAACACGCAGTCTCATGAATAATTAAATAGACACTGATGCGTCATCGATGTACTATAGTCCATTGCCACGTCACAAATCGTGACGTCAACACAATGTAGATTTTAAACCCGGAAGATGAAAATAGCGCAAAAAAAGCTTACAATTATCCAGTTTTCTCCAACAGTTAAAATTATCGGATGCTAAAATTGTCTTCTATGATGTGCAACACCTCTGCTAAAATCTCAAAAAAAAATTTTGTCTGGGGTTTCATGACCCTTTAAGTCCCATTGTCTAGCATTGTATACAGTCTATGCTTAGTAACAAAATATCTGGCAACCTTCTCATCCGACACCGTCACAACACGCGTAAAAGCTGCTGGGTGAGTCGACATGATGGTGGACTGCTTTTATAAGCCACTTTTACAGGACGACGGCGATGGACAGGTAGATGTTTTTGTCTGACTGCGCTCTATTTGTGTTGTGGGGTTGCCAAGGGATGCCGTATTCAAGGATCATAATCATATACTGAAAAAAGGCTGGATAAAGACGTGAAAACAGTTAGTTTGGGATCATTTCTGAAAGCATGGCAATGTCCCTAACCCAAGCCTGCCGGAGTCTTGCCCTGTCTACATGGCTGCTGTCGTTTTGCTTCGTGCATTTGCTGTGTCTGGACTTCACAGTGGCAGAGAAGGAGGAATGGTACACTGCCTTTGTCAACATCACTTACCTGGATCCAGTCACATCTGAGATGAAGACAGACAAGAGTGAATGTGGCAGATATGGGGAGCACTCTCCTAAAAGAGATGCCAGGGGCTTTGTGTTTATGCCATCTCTTCTGCAGGACAGACAGGTGTGTGACAGTAACACTAAATTCCCTCTTCCCCATCCCAACATCCCATGGATAGCACTGATAGCCAGAGGAAACTGCACCTACAGGGAGAAGATCAGACATGCTGCTGCTCTCAATGCATCCGCTGTGGTCATCTTCAATGTGGGCTCCAGCAACTCCAATGAGACCATTACTATGCCACATCACGGTAAGATGAGATGCTTTTCTTGTGCATTTGCTCTCCAGACGTCATTGTAAAAGAAATATTGACCGTTAAAGTGCAAGTTGTGCACTGTATTCCAAGTTTATAAACCCACTTTAATTGTAGAATGTATGAAGAGCAACTTAAAGGGACAGTTCACCTAAAAATGAAAATTCTGTCAATCTTTGCTCACCCTCAAGTTGTTCCAAACCTGTGTGTATTTCTTTCTTCTGCTGAACACAAAAGACGATATTTTGAAGAATGTGAGTAACCAAACGGTAGCCATTGACTTTTTTTTTTATACTATGAAAATCAATGGCACCTGTGAGCATTCTTCAAAATATCATCTTTTGTGTTCAGCAGAAGAAGAAATACATACAGGTTTGGAACAACTTTAGAGTAAGTAAATGATGACGGAATTATCATTTTTGGGTGATCTATGAAGAGACTTTTATTGAAGGCCATTTGGGTGAATAAATATTGACCAAATTGCTTTTCGGATGAACTATTCCTTTAATGTATAACAAGGATATCACATCAATGCACCAACATGTGATTATGACCAGTGATGCATGTTGTGTGATCTAAGCTTGACCAGTTTGTTTCCACTATGAATAGTTAACATCTATCATGCACAGTATCCTGATGTGGAAAAACCTGTTAAACCCTTGAGATTTGCATGGTCTGTTTACATACTTTGCAGAGTATTAAGCCTCTGTTGCATCTTTGCATTAATATTTTCATATTGCATCATATTTCACACCAAAATCAAAAGAAAGAATATGTGCTACACTTTACAATAAGGTTCCATTAGGTACTTTATTTATTTATTGCATTTTAACATTGTTTTCATGAATATTATTAATAAAATAATATTGTTGTAATGCAAAAAAATATATAAAAAAGTTAACTGTTATGCTAAAAAACAAGGCATATTAATGACATTCCCAACATCCCACTTTCCTGCACAGACTTTACAAACTTTGACCAGCTCTCCACACTTCTCTCGACTCCACTATATCATACTTATATGATTCATTTATTACAATAAAAGGAATCTTTTGGTCTACACGCACATTTTCGGTGATTGTTGTCTTGACTCACTCTGATGCAGCTAAGAATTATTTTTATTACTTGAGTTGTGACATGATTACTCAGTGTGTTTGCAGTCGCTGCAGGTTTCTTCTTGTTGTGTTTCCCTAGCAATGGATGATTTTCACAAAAACATGTCCATGTCACACTTGCAACCCAAGATCATAAGGAAAAATATTAGGAAACTATATTTTGCATAAAGAAAGCGGGGCTTAATTTTGGAACTTTTGTCTATTATTATCATGACAGTTATCAATGCATCAAAGATGTAGATGAGTTTGTTACTTCATCAAACAGATTTGGAGAAATGTAGCATTGCATCACTTGCTCACCAGTGGATGCTCTGCAGTGAATGGGTGCCGTCAGCGTGAGAGTCCAAACAGCTGATAAAAACATCACAATAATCCACAAGTAGCTGAGACAACTCCAGTCCATCATTGCTTCTGGCTAAAATATGTGATGTTTTTATCAGATGTTTGGACTCTCATTCTGACGGCACCCATTCACTGCAGAGCATCCATTGGTGAGCAGGTGATGTAATGCTACATTTCTCAAGATCTGTTCCCATGAATAAACTCATCTACATCTTGGACGGCCTGAGGGCGAGTACATTGTCAGTGATTTTGTGGGTGAATTATTCCTTTAAAACATGTTCTCAAAGATCTTGTCTGTGCGTGTTTGAGTTTGGTAACATTAGCAGGTTAGTGGGAGTTGTAAGATTGCTCAAACCAAGTCAACCACAAGAATCTCTCTTGCATTTTGCAGAACTCATGGTCACGACATGCTGTTGTGTCTGATCAAGAGTGTCTGTCTCTTTTACTTCCCCACCATTTTCTGGTCTCTTGACCCTTTGCTTCATGAATTCTTTGTCATTTTTGAGCGTTAGAGGCCATTGACTGTATCTGTTCGGCACTGAAAGTGCTGTCAGTGTCATGAGCAACAGTGTCCAGACAGAATATTCTGCATGTAGTTAAACCTGCTGTGTCTTTTTTCCCCCCAATGTTATTGGGACAGTTCACCCATCAGTTTTTTTCTCCTTGTTATGTATCTTAGTCTTATACTCTGTAAGGCACAGTGGTTAAATCCTGTTGTGTTTACTTGTGCTATATAAATAAATGAAATGAAACTGACTACATTCATGCACAGCTTTCACCTCTGACCTGATGCTGTCATGTTGTTATTGATGAAGCTCCATAAAGGTGTTGTGTTTAGCATTAATCACAGGCTCCTGTATCCTGAACTCTGCAGTGCAGTAATTCATCTCTCAAATCCAGTGTTCAGCCAGTTCCTTGTTTGTAAATGGAGAGGGCTGGTACTCCGCACTGGTTAAGTGCATTCTTCATAGTTTTATTTTTGCTTTCTTTGCTGACATGTTGGCTGCTTTACAGCTCAGTCCAGCAAGTGCTAATTTTGAGGATCAAATGACTGGCTTTCGCAGATGCATGTTTAGAGTCCAGAATGAGTGAAGCCCTGAGCTTAGCTGAGATGTGTGAAGTCTTCAGTTTCAAATGATGCCTCTCTTGAAATGAGCAAAAACACACAAAATAGTTTAAATGCAAAATCAATTCAATATCTAACAACAAACAAATTATGTTTCTTAAAACATACAATAATGCTTAAAATTAGGTTTAACTTAAACATTAAATATTATGAAATTTTAGTGCACTTTACAAATTATTTTTTTTAAAAACTGGCTTGATATGTGTTATAAAATTCATCTAATCTATCTATTTGTTTGTTCATTTATTCTTAATGTAGGATTTATTAATTTATTTATTGCCTTGTTTTGCTTTTTTGGGGTGGGGGGGGCTTTTTTCAAGATAATTTTTTGTAATATATAAAAAGTCACCTATTAGACCTGTTTTTGTTAGTTTGTTTCTGTGTCTGTTTTTGAATAAAGCCTGCTTAAATCAGTGTTGTGATTGTTAAAACTAAAACTAATTTAAAACTATTTTTGTTAACTGAAATAAAGCTGAAATAAAATATAAATAGTAGACTTAAACTTAAAAAAAAAAAGTAAAGTACTAAAATGACAAAAACTAAAACAGAAATAAAAATAATAAAGCTTATTGGAAATATTTAAAAACGAAGATATACATAAAAGCCTGAAATGAAAATGGAAAATATTAAAATAAATGCTAACTCAAAAATATAAATAAATACTACAAAACAAAACAACTAAAACGACACTTGTTTTATTTTGAAATAATATCACTTGAAAATATCAGATTTTATTCAGTATTAAGTATTAGGTAACAAGTAAGATAAAGAAATAGCCTACTCTTAATAAAACAAAAAAAAGATACATTTTCTTTAAGTTTTCCAGTTTCTTCCTTTTCTGTGAAGCAGAATCCACCCAAATGAATTCTTGTTAATGGCATCAGTCTAAAGGAAGGTGTGACCGATCCGTGTGTTTGTTCTCTGTATTTAATTATATCAGGTTTGCAGATCTGTTCGAAGGCTTTTCCAGAGTCTAGAGAAGAGCCTAACTTATTTTTAACATTGAATGACAGTGCAAAACGCTGTGACTGACGCTATGACTCGCTGACTGTCAGTGTGTTTTTATGTTGATCAATTAAAAGTGTGAAGTTTGGTGGTGAAGTATGTCATCTGTGTGAATCGTTTGAGATTTGAACCTATTATCATCGGTTTAGGTACTGGCGATGTGGTGGCTATCATGATTCCCGAGCCCAAAGGTCGTGAGATCATGGCCCTGCTGGAGAAGAACATAACCGTGGCCATGCACATCACCATCGGCACGCGCAACCTGCAGAAATACGTCAGCCGCACTTCTGTGGTGTTCGTCTCCATCTCCTTCATCGTCCTGATGATCATCTCTCTGGCCTGGCTGGTCTTCTACTACATCCAGCGCTTCCGCTACGCAAACGCACGAGACCGCAACCAGGTGCTGTACAGTCACGCTTTTATTTTACTCAACATGCGTTAAGAAAGCAAAGAAGGTCAAATTTGATTTAATGTTGGTTTAAAATCCGAAATTTCAATGTAGCCTGTTTCATGTCTTTTGCAGAGAAGATTGGGCGACGCTGCAAAAAAGGCCATAAGCAAGTTACAAGTACGGACCATCAGGAAGGGTGACAAGGTTTGGATTGTTTTGAGCTTTTTTTTGGTAATTGAGTATCGTGAAATGCTTCAAGCACTTCATTCAAAGCAATAATGCTATAATTATAATGAAAATGGGGCAAAAACACATCCTTACAACTTGGCCAGGCAGCTTTTATTATACACTGTCATTCAAGTTTTTGTTTAACGTTTTTGAAAGAAGTGTCTTCTTCTCACCAAGGCTACATTTAATTGATCAAAATATGGAAATAACAGTAATATTGTGAAATTTTTACAATTTAACATAACTGTTTTCTATTTGAATATATTTGAAAATATAATTTGGCAATGGCAATGGCAATTTTATTTATATAGCACTATTTACTACAACCAGAGTTGACCAATGTGCTTTACAATAGAATAACTAAAAACGGCAATAACACAATGAAAAATAAAAACAGTAAAACCAAGAAAGAAAAAAGAAAAAAACATAAAAACTTAAAAATAGCCACAGATGAAGCCATTCTAATAAAAATGGGCAGATCATTACAGAGTCTTGGCGTGATTGTAGAAAAAGCGCGATCACCCCTGCACTTCCGCCTCGTCTTGGGGATAAATAAGAGTCTCTGGTTAGAGGACCGGAGGGATCTGGTTACATTGTGCTCAATCAATAAATCAGAGATATATGATGGAGCCATACCATTTAGTGATTTATAGACAATAAGCAAAATTTTAAAATCTACTCTGTAAGGCACAGGCAGCCAGTGTAAAGACTGTAAAACCGGAGTAATATGCTCCCGTTTATGAATCCTGGTCAAAAGACTAGCTGCTGCATTCTGAACCAGTTGTAATCGGGATAAAGCTGTTTGACTAATCCCAGCATAAAGTGAGTTACAGTAATCTAATCTAGAGGTAATAAAAGCATGAATCACTTTCTCAAAGTTTTTAAAAGAAAGACAGACAGGAACCGCAACTGAAAAAAGGATGATTTGACCACAGAATTGATCTGCCTATCAAACTTCAGATGTTCATGAAATACCACACCCAGATTTTTCACATATTGCTTAACACATGAGGATAACCCACCAAGGTGTGGACTGGGAGCAGTCAAGGAATTTGAGGGTTTAAAAACAATAATTTCAGATTTTTCCTCATTGAAATTCGGAAGGTTTAGCAAAAAACCATGCCTTTACATCTGTCAAACAGGCCAGGAGAGCATCCAGTCCATCCGAATTCTGTTTTATAGGCAGATAAACTTGTGTATCGTCAGCATAACAATGGAATGCCAGCCCATATTTTCTAGAAATGGAACCAAGTGGAAGCATATATATAAAGAAAAAAGGATGGGAGCCAAAATAGATCCTTGGGGAACCCCACAGGTTAATACAGCATTACTAGAAGTTTTTTTCTGTTTTATTCCTGAGATCAAAGCTGAATTTTCAGCATCATTACTCCAGTCTTCAGTGTCACATGATTCTTCAGAAATCATTCTAATATGCTGATTTGCTTCTCAAAAAACATTTCTGGTTATGATCAATGTTGAAAACAGTTGTGCTGCTTCATATTTTTGTGGAAATGTGATGTATTTGTCAAATTATTTGTTAAAAAATAGCATTTATTTGAAATAGAAATCTTTTGTAACATTATACATTTCTTTACCATCACATTTGATCAATTTAATGCATACTTGCTGAATAAAAGTATTAATTTCTTGCAACAAAAAAAAAATCATACTGACCTAAAATTTTTTAAAGTGTAAAATTGATTTTTTTCTGATTCTACATTATTATTGCAAGTGTCACTTTTGAAATTATATAAACATATATACTGTATATTAAAAACACTCCAAATGTGTGATATCTGTAGTCTGATTTGTGGCCTTCAACACCCGTCTGTGATTCATTGTCCTTATGTGTGTTTTATGACTGTATGTTCCTGTCTGCTGCTTTGGCTCTAATGGAGATCTCATGGAAGTGTACACATACAGTTGCCCATGTGTGGTTTCTCACAACATTGTTTATCGACCTGCTGTTTCTAGGAAATCGAGTCGGACTTTGATAACTGCGCAGTGTGCATCGAAGACTACAAACCTAATGATGTTGTCAGGATACTGCCGTGTTGGTAAGATTTGAGACAAACATTACAAGACATCAGCTCAGAGAAATAAAAGGCTTAAAACTGTAAATAATACATCATTAGTGAAGTCAGGCTTAGTGTGCCATATTGAAGTTCAGCCCAAAACTATTGAACTAAATAAGCTCTTCCTCTAAAGCTAATTTTTAATCTGTGAAAGGGAAACTTTCAATAGTTTTTCCCAATAGTGCAGCATCAATATGAACTTTACCATGCCAAAGGCCTCCTTCATTAAGCATTGCTTACAATATGTCTACGCTGGAAGAAAATATATCTCTTCAGTTATAATCAATCAAAATGCTGAATCTGGAAGTACATGTGGCATCAACAGACGCCACATTTCTATAATTGAAATGTTGTGCATCTACTTCAGACACCTGCATCTGTCTTTAATTTAATCAATTTATTTACAAAAAAACATATATTTAAATCATTTTTGACCATTACACCAGAGCCGGCTCATGATTTTTTCTGGTGTCTGGCTTACTAATTTAAATAATCTTTCATTTCTGTGTGTATAGTTTCATTTCACCGTTTTATTACACTACTGTGAATTCAATTAATGCTTCACTTAATGTTTAATAATTAAATAATTAATAATTAATGTTTTTTGCACAAATAAGTTTACTTTTTTAATAATAATAATAACAATAATTAATTAAAGTCTACTTAATAATAATAATTAGTAGTATTAGTATTAAGTAGTCTTTAATTATACATTATTAGATTTTCTTGTTGTTTGTGATTTAGTTAGCGAGTATAACATGTAAAATCAGTTCTGCGTATCAGATGGATTTGTAGATATCTAAAGTCTTTAAAAAAATACTGGTTGATCTGTTATCCAGCCAATAATGTTTAATTTTATTGTATTTTATTTATAAATGTATTTATTTGCTAAAATAGCCAATACAAAGTCCATATTAATCTGGTTAAAATGACACATTGAATGTACAAATGCATTAAAATGTTTAGACACAGTGTTAGCCAGGTGTTTTTGTGTAAAATATGTCTTGACTGTTTAATGATAACTGTGTTGTTGCCAGTCATGTCTTCCATAAGAACTGTGTGGACCCTTGGCTACAGGACCACAGAACCTGTCCCATGTGCAAAATGAACATCCTTAAGGCGCTGGGCATCCCGGTAAGAACAGAAGCTACTGGATCCACGAGCCTTGCTTGTGACCTTGTGTTTTGCTCTTAATAACGCTGTAATGTGCCATTCAAACAGCCCAATACAGACTGTTCTGATGACATCCCTCCTGATTATGAGATGTCCGTCAGCGGGCCGCCCACCAACCCTGTGACAGGGGCTAGTGAGGTCTCAGTGGGCGAGAGCTTGGCGGTCCTGGACCCAGCTGTCAGAACGATAGGCCTGTCACACATTTACCACGAGATGGACGCCTTCCCGCAGGTTGGAGAGAGCCACCACATCGCCAGCAGTGAGTATGGATGAACCGTTACACAAGGCCATCACAACTTATTGTGATCTTGACATAAACGTTTTTTTTTTGGATGGGATAAGTTTTGCTTTTCTCAAGGTATCTCAAAAATACTAAAGAAAATTAACAGTAATGTATAACATCTAAATAATTTATTAATATTAAATAATTGGTGTCACGTGTCAGTAAGATTTTTTTATTAGTTTTTAAATGATGTCTCTTATGCTCACCAAGGCAGCATTTATTTGATTATTATTTAGCATTAATATTGTGAAATATTTTTCCAATTTCAAATAACTGTTTTCTGTGTGTAATATATGCTAAAATGTAATTTATTCCTGTGTTCAAAGCTGAATTTTCAGCATCATTACTCGCATGATCTTCAGAAAGCATTCTAATATGCTGATTTGCTGCTCAAGAAACATTTCTGGTTATTATCAATGCTGCTTCATATTTTTGTGGAAACATGATACATCACTGTATAAAATGAAACTCAAAAGAGGAGTCTATAAAAATTGAATAAATATCCTAACAAAGGCATTTTTCCACGCAATGCACGGATCTGTATAAGAAATGCTTCTATACAAATATAAAAGGAATTGTAGTTCCAATGTGAAATTCCTATCTCCCACATGGACCTACACGTCTCTTGGAAGTGGATTTGATTATTTTAGTCTGTTTTAGTGGTTTTGCGTGTGATCTACTTTCAGCTCTCATATATTTAGGTCATTTTTTTTTTACCGGCAGCAAATAAAAGCACAGCCTGTCCTGGTTCTCCATCGCAGCTCTACTCTGATCCTGTGCTGCTTCTGTAGCCCGTATCAGGCCTTTTGTCAGCTTATGAGACTAGATTAGTTGCTTCGGTCTGCTGCCACGCACGGTAAATAAGCCTGTCAAACTCCAGACAGAACAAAAACACCATAAAACCATACCGTGTGTCTCGTGTGGAAACTTCCAGGCCATTTTTTCCTCAACCGAAGCTCTGAAATCTAAAATCTCTGAAAAAGGGTCATTGCGACAGTTTATCTCACAAAAGAAATAAAGTAAAAAGGCAATTTTGAGTTTATATCTTTCAATTCAGACTTTTTTTTTCAAAATTGCAATTTTATGACATGCAATTCTGAGTTTAAATCTCGCAATTCTGACATTTTTCTCAAAAGTTTGAGTTTATATCTCTCAATTCTGACTTTCTCAAAATTGTGAGTTTTTATTTTGCAGTTCTGACTTTCTACTCAAAATTGTGAGTTAATTTCTTGCAATTCTGGGTTTTTATATCTCGCAATTCTTACTTTTTTCTCAAAATTGAGAGAGCATATCTCAATTGAGTTTATATCTTGCAACTCTGAGGCTTCGTTTACACCACAACGATGTAGTCAAAAACGGAAAAGTTTTTCCCTTGCGTTTTTAAAAAGTTTCACGTATACACGACAACGTTTTCAAAACGATTCGCGTTTACACATATCCGCGAAAACGGCCAAAAGCGCTGTATTACGTATGCCAGGCCAGTAGTTGGCGCTGTCACCTTGTTAGTAAACAGCACCTGTAGGGAAGTGACGATTATATGATGTATATGATGCGTCTCCGCTGTTGGTTGTAATATTGGTGAAGTAAATCCACACTTTGCTGAAGAAGCGTTAGCAAACTCTTGAGCAGCAACAACAGTACCATGTACTCCACCATTGTTGTGTATGTTTGTTCACGCTTGCCTTTAAAATCGACACGTACTGCGCATGTCTACATACCTAACACGTACTACGCACACGCATGACGTCAGCGTTTTCAAAGATTCCCGTTTTGGCTGTTTACACGGAAACGATAACGGTGCCGTTTTCGAAAACTTGCACTTTTGAAACCAGTTTTCAAAAATATGCGTTTTCAGTCCCCAAAACGCCATTGTCGTGTAAACGAGCAGGCAAATATGCATAAAATGTTTCCCATTTTTGGCTGAAAACGTTGTCGTGTAAACGGCCCCTTAGTTAATATCTCACAATTCAGACTTTTTTTTCCTCAGAATTGCTCATTTATTTCTCACAATTTCAAGTTTTTCGTAATTGTAATGTTTTTTTTTTTTATCTGTGGCAGAAACAAGCTTCCATAGAAATCTTATTAACGTTTTTATTCCGATGCAAAAACAACACCTCACCAGGTTTGGTGCTAAAACAGCTTTTTTGTTGTTTCAGGTGAGCACCAGCCCTCCATGAGCGCAGATTCAGACACCTCACTCATCATGCCAGTGGAGCTCGTCCTGTCCGACGTTGAACTGCAGTCCAATCCAGAACAGGACGAGGTGAAGTCCTGAAGTGCCATAAACAGAGCAGGAATGAAAGAACACGTGGGTGCCGTTTTCGAAAACTTGCACTTTTGAAACCAGTTTTCAAAAATATGCGCTTTCAGTCCCCAAAACGCCATTGTCGTGTAAACGAGCAGGCAAATATGCATAAAATGTTTCCCATTTTTGGCTGAAAACGTTGTCGTGTAAACGGCCCCTTAGTTAATATCTCACAATTCAGACTTTTTTTTCTCAGAATTGCTCATTTATTTCTCACAATTTCAAGTTTTTCGTAATTGTAATGTTTTTTTTTTTTATCTGTGGCAGAAACAAGCTTCCATAGAAATCTTATTAACGTTTTTATTCCGATGCAAAAACAACACCTCTCACCAGGTTTGGTGCTAAAACAGCTTTTTTGTTGTTTCAGGTGAGCACCAGCCCTCCATGAGCGCAGATTCAGACACCTCACTCATCATGCCAGTGGAGCTCGTCCTGTCCGACGTTGAACTGCAGTCCAATCCAGAACAGGACGAGGTGAAGTCCTGAAGTGCCATAAACAGAGCAGGAATGAAAGAACACGTGCAATAGCAGCACAGGTGTGCAACCTCCTTTTTTGACCTCATGGTCTCCATCACTGCAAAAATAGCTTGCTTGTCCTCGTCCTCTGACTGTATTGCACCCAATGTCTTCTGTCCCGAGTTTGTGTTACCAGACTGGAAAATCCATATGGTCCTGCGAGGGATGATTACGCTTTTATTTTGGAAAATATTGACTGTTTCAACTTCCCTATGGGATCACTGCCAGTATACACCAGGATATTCCAAAATGAATATACGTAATGCTTCGATGAATGCGCCGTACATTTGCTTTGAGTGTCTAAAGCGGTTTGCGTGTGCTCTAACCAGCAGTTCATATGGTCCAGTGTCAGATGCTCCTCGTGAAGTATCACCAGTTCTTATCGTATGCAGGACGCTATTCTTGCATCTTCAGATATGTGATGTGTCAAGTCACGCCACAGTGAACCCAGAAACCCAGCTCAGCTCTGTGTTTCAGCAGCCGTATCCAGTGACAGTGTGTCACGGCAGTGTTTGTGAATCATAATGCCACGAAAGCAGATACTTTCCACTCATTTTGTCTTGACTAAGCTCTGTCATCTATTCCGCTAGGCCACATGCACACTGCTAAATACAGTCTCACTCTGGTTTGTTATTTATGAGAGTGACAATTGCGTTCAGATTCAACCAAATTCAAAGCTGCGTGCATGTCATATTTCAGTTAACTTGGAAATGTATTAATTCCAATTTGGAATGTCAAAAATAACTACAGGCCCATTCACAACCAAAATGATAACTATTAGTGATGCACCAAAATTAGTTTTTTACAGAAAGCCTGAAGCAAAAAATGTGGGTTTTATTTAGTCAAAAACTGGAAATGTATTTAATAATCCATTATTTAATCACATTTAATTGATCTTCAACACTCAAATAAAAGCCGAATCATATATAAACATTTAAAAGGCATTTTTATATGCATTTTTGATTGTGTAAATAAGTTTCGAATTGCAATTCGTTGTCAAAATATAAACATCAAAATAAGTATAACATTAAGTAAAAATATATGAATAGTAATTTTACGAGAATAGCACAATATCATCCTTGGAATCACTTTCAGAATGATATTTTCCTATTTTTTGTATATATAAATATTTCTGGTTTCATAATGATAAAACATTGACTTAATATCGCAAGCAAAATAAGGTGAATCGTATGAATTTGTGAAAATATAATATAGAGCACACTGCATGCTCTCAACCGCAGTGACGATTATAATATCAAATGCCATTTTATTTAAAAACATCTATTTATTAATTGATTATTTGATTGGACCCGAAACTAGAATGGACAGCAACTGGTTCCAGGGACTTGGATTGTCAGTGTTGGTGAAGTTTAAGATATTTTACACAACACTGAATCAAAAATGCTAAATAAACATGTTTATTTCTGAGATTACGGGTGCCACTCTCTGTCATTTGACAGAAATGTAGTATTGTAATTTTTATGAAACACTTGTCAGTATGAAGTGAATACTTTACGGTTTGCGGTGAACTAGTGTTCTATTATGAGTCAAGCATCGTGATTCACTCCCACAAATAACAGCAGATGTCACTTCCTCTACCCTGCCGTGTGCATGTGGCCATTTTTCATTTTCTCTGGCATTGACGTGCCGAGTTAAACTCTTCAGAGGCCGTTTTTGTTTCTAAAAGGTTTAAAGAGGAATTGTTGGGTTGGATGTAAATGTAAAGAACAGTAGAATGTTTGTAAATTTAGGTTTATCAAATTTGGTTTATTTTCTGTGGCGTATAGGATTTCTACATTATATCCCTGGACATGATCGCGTTACCCCTTTGCTAAAACTGAAGTGAGACAGATATGCAATCTGAGCAGCTGAATTGATCTGAAGAGCTCAACCAGTGGTGCAGACGCTACCAGTTTGGCCAAACAATGGTTGACGACTGAAAAATGGCTGAAAATTGTTCTTTGTTTTTGCTATTCTGTTTGGTTGCTGCAGAAATTGCACGCGTAACTTTTACAGGAGAGTAGTAAAAGCACTTTGCATCAGATTTGACTAACAGGCCTGTTTTAAATGACTGTTTGCTTTTTATCGTGCACAATAGGAAAGTGAAAGACTATTGAATGGTTATTTTGATATCAAAGGGTTTATTTTTCTAAAAAGAAAGACAAAAACAACAAAGGATACATATATTATGAAGATAAACAGCACCCCTTTTACATATTTATGTTTTATTAAATAATTCAGCTTTCCAGAATATAGATGTTATGATCATTTATAGCTTTTTTGTTGAATACAGACTTACAGTGTGTTGGTGTATCTGCCAACTTTAAATATGTCTTATTGTTTTAATTATGTTAATATGAATTATTAGTAATTGAATTAGGTATTTTGTTTTGGTGTTTAAATCTTTTTTTTTCTCAGTGAGACATTGTATCGAAATACACTTCCCCAGTTAAACGCGCTCATACCCAGAATGCACTGCTGCAGTGGGACGAGCTGATGAATGTTCGGTATACCAAAGCTTTAGTGTTGCATTTCCACACACTGTTGGATATGTGTGCATATGTTTGTTATGTTAGGACAGGTCGATGTGGCATGACCTGTGCATTTGTATTGAATGGTCTTGCTGTGGAGGACAGCGCTGGGGTCTGTGATCCTCATATTCATATTCAGTAATATTTAACAAAAAGGCTTGTGCAGTGTTATTTGCATCTATCAGCCAAAAAGCACATGAGATTTCCCTGAGATCTGCAGATTTTAGGATAGCTTTAATGAAACTGATGTTTAGAGGAATTTTATAAGATTAGATGATTAAGCACTTTTAATTTGGTGCTTACTTAGTCATTGTAACAGACATTTCTTTCAGCACAAACAGTATGACAGTGGGCTGGATTCACGAGTTTTCTTAAGAAAAAAGTCACAAAAATTCTAATATCAATTCTTAATTTCTAAGATCAATTCTAACAGGTTTGTAAGAATGTTAAAAAATCAGCAATTCTTGAAAAAAATGGACAAATTCTAAGTTCATAAGATAAAAAATGTGCAATTCTAAACACATTTTTGAAAATTCAAATGATAAATTCTTAGGTTGTTAGAATGTTGAAAATTTGCAATTCTTGAAAAAAACGATCAAAATTCAAATGATAAATTCGAAGAAGTTCGTAAGTATGTTAAAAAATGTGCAATTATTTAAAAGTAATATAAAAATCCTTAAGATAAATTCTAAGTTCGTAAGAATGTTGAAAAAAGTGCAATTCTTGAGAAAATTTTACGTTGACATCTTTTTTACAGACGTTGTTCTGAAAAAGCATGTACTGTACAATATTGTCGTTGCTACTGGCTTGACTGGAGTCCAGCACTCAACCTTTTATTTTTAAGTTATTTACAATCATTTTTAACTTTAACGTTTATAAGTTTAACATTTCAGCTTTTTTTTTTATTCTTCTTAAATTTTGTCCAAAGAAAAAAAGACTTCTTTTTTTTTTTTTTTTCTTAAGTTAAATAAATGGCAGTTAAGAAGAATTGTATTCTTAAGAATGTTTTGTGAATTTGGCCCAAAATGTTTTTTTTTTTCTTTGTTTCATTGTGTTGTCTGGACTGTCTAGGAATAATTTTGTGAGTCCATTAAACTCGTCAAATCATGCGTTTGTTTTTTATTTTTTCTCCTTGGGAAATTCATTTTCAGTATTTCCGTGCTGTGCCTTTAAGACGATGTAAACGCCATCTTCATATATAATCATGAGCATTTGGATACATTTGGACCGATTCATATAACAGCTAATGCTGAAATGTAAATGTAATGTGAAAATCATGTTCAAAAAGTGCTTAGCTCTAAAATTTGCAGTATGTTTTATATCACCAAGATGATATTCCTTCTATGCCCCTTTTAAAGGAACCTGTGTGTGTGTGTGTGTGTGCGTGTGTGTGTGTGTGCGCGTTGTTGTTGACAGTATAGAGTGTTTGTTTGACTTCTGTTTCTCGTTAAATAAATCAATGTTTTTGTCATGATAGCACATTTTGTATGTGCATATCAGTTTTTTTGTGAAATGATTCAGTGCTATCCAGGCTGCTGTGTGTGATCTGCACAGACACATGATGTAATTAGCATTGCTTGATAACCTTCCCAAATTTGCTCCAAATATATTTCTTGTTTTGCCATGAATGTGGTTTTTGCAGTAAATCGATTTGCTGTCATCAGTGCAATAAAAGTATAATTGTGATAAATAACTTCAAAATAGATTTCATGTTTAATGCTGGCCACAGCTCTCTGTACTTTTTCATGCAAGCCTGGCTTCCGTCTCGGTTCACCTATTGCACACTTTCTCGATATTTTACCACTTCCATATTTTACAAGTTTTAAGAATTGTATTCTTACTTCTTGTTTGTGGCCAGTTAAACATGTTCATGAAAGCACTTTGTCTCTCTTGTGAGAGTGTATGATCGGAACGTTTAAAGATGAAGTGTGTCATTTGTCTCAATGTATGAG